TTTCCCATCAAGAAATGTGACGTGCTACTGTAAAGATATACGGCAGGGTTCTCCGGCCATGGCCTCTCCGGTCATGAGCCCCCAGGTCGGGTCTCAAATGACTGCATTTACCCGACTACTACTACCACTACTATAATTTCCCGTCGTCGACTCTACGAAAACTAGTACCATTAGTCGTGGTTCGCCCCTTCCGCCTTAAGCTGGTGGTAATGGGAGTCGTTATAGTATGGGAATGGTCGTGTTGTTGTTAGCAGCAATTTGAGTTTGATCGGTTGTTATTCTCCTGTGCGAGAACCTATCGTATTGCTTTCACGTTCAACGAACATGCTTCACTGGTGGTGTTGTTCTGTTCTTTGGGAAAGGGAGAATTTCAGGGATCAGTTACATTATGGCATTCATCCCATATCTATATCTCACATTCACCTTTGTTGCAGCACAGAGGAACATTTCGGTAACTCCTAGTCGGACAAGTCCTCCTACCACCCCAGGGCCAGTGAAGTACTGCCCTATTGGCTGGTGCCTGGATTCCAAGTGGTTCAAGAAGCGTCCGTGTATAACTCCGAAGCCCTATGTCCTGCGAGACTGTTGGAATTTGTTCTGTAAAATTGATGCTAATCATCGGGGCTTCTATCCCACGAATTCTCAAGGGAGAAGACAAGGAACTTATTGTAAAGATTGGCAGGATCCCAATGGTCGAATTTGTTTCCACGATACGAGCCTGCACTGCCAGTGTGATAAACTTCATATCACACCTTTTTCACCTCACCCAAGAGATGGGTGGTCAGAAGCACAGCCATGCAGTTATCCCCCTCCCCCAGGAGTTTTAACGTCGCCGCCACCACCGGATTTCAACTATTCATCGAGCACTGGACTCAGCAGGAGCGATGGTTTACGCCTTATCATTTTAACTGTTTTATCGCCGACAATAGTCTGGGCGATTTAGCCTGTCAACTCAAGCTGACCTTCCGGTTAGCAGATGGAACGGCTGTGTTCATCGCACTCGCCCGAGTAATAGATTATCAGCGCAACTAAGTTGCAGGGTGTATTGTATTGCGTTGCAGTTCATCCAGTCGTGTCGGACGTAGCCATCTGGCTCAAGTAGCCATCTGGCTCAAGTTACCTGTTATAATATGACCGCGAATTCTTCGCACGGCGGAGGAAGCGGTAGGATTCACCTGTGTCAAGACCCCTGCAACAAGGGATCATTGAAACGATCCGAGAAGAAGAACCAGTACGACGACATAGATCTGCCGATGCACGGGTCGTCCCCGAGCACCGGCCAGGTAGGGCGGGGGAAGGTAAATTGTACACATAGTATAGGAGAGGCCCTAGTGGCTGCCTGGGACTCGACGGAGGGACCTCCGCAAGAGTCTCCGCAAATCACTGTTGCAATGCCTGACGCCATCATGCGGGCAATTGGAGACGGCGAACGTGCTGCCAGTGGCGCTGAAGTGCCCCCTCCGCCCTTCGGCAGGACGCCAAAGGACACCGCATTTCAAACAACTCCCCCTCGTGTGGTTGGAGGGAAAACCCTGAGATCCCAACTCTCCCCGAGTTTAGAGTCGGCCCTACGCGACTCGAGAAAACAAAAGAGCTATTGGGCCGCCCAATTTGGGCGGATACATCCCCAGATATCGAAAAGCTGGTGGACTTACAAGATACACTGAAGAGACTAGATGAAGAAGATCCATCAGCTATGGATGTCGACGAACTTCTTGCAACTTTGAACTCAGTTCTAGGCCTCCTCACTGAGTCGTACATGGGTATCGGGGAGTCGACTTTCAGTGTGGTGGAGACAAAACTCAGATGGCTTTCTACTGTGGCACAGCGGAGGGACGGACACAGTCGTTGGTCTGTGGAGCTGGGGCCTCCTAATGACAATGATACAGAGTCACCAACCGCTTCAGCGGCACCCATCCCAGCTAGGGACGAAGCCACCAATCCGCAATCTAGGATCTGGAAACTGCGAAAGTGCTTTGAAAACACTCCGACCGGACCCCGTCGGCCTGACCGAGGGGGGCACAATGCCTGCCCGAACGCAACGGCAACAAATCGACAGACCGACGCGGCCCTGATTCCGCCACCGAGCAAGAGGTTCCCACGCGGTTCCTTCGAAGGATGCCCCGGTGTACGTTCGAAAAATGGCTCGAGAGCTGACGTAACATCGCAGCCCTCGTGCGATCCTGATCCGGAGAATAGACCCGGTATCGGAAACCACATGCCCGGGAACTCTTGGGCGACGGTCGTATCTCGTCGCCCGCGTAAGAATACGAGTCCTCCAGTAGCCGCCAATAAGGTGTTCACGCCAACTCGATCACCGGCGAGATCCAGAGGTGGAATGCAGAGACCTCGGGCAACAGCTGGCAAAGTGGTCGAATTGCTCCCGCAGGAGCCAGGGCCACAGCTCACGCCAAGAAAACTACAGGAGATGAGATCTCAAGCGCTCAGTGTCCTCCCAGAGTCGGTGACAGTTGTATCGACTTTCCCAGTAGGAGCCGGGCTAGGCCTGAGTCTATTGAAGGAAGAGGAGGTCGATGCGACATGCCGTGCACTTTCGGTTATCCCAGGGTGGACAGCACGCCCACGACGAGCCCTTTGGCCTCGCATTATCCTTTTCAACTCTAGCTGCCCTCGCTCGGCGTCGATCGAGGACATAAGTGAGTCGATCAGGAAAGAGAACCCCGACATCAGCACAGCATGCGATGCTCAACTCACGGGAAGCCAGATCGTGAAGGGGGCATATTGGCGTTCTTCGCATCTGGTTCTCACTGTCGCACCCGCAGTTTATGCATTCTTGCGCGATCATCACCTCCGGAAGATCAAACTTTTCAGACTGCTCACAGCATTCTCCACGGCCACTGGGCAACCCTGCTGCTACTACTGTGGGCAGCTTGGACACATAATGTCTAATTTAGACATTAATTAGACAGTCTAAATGCCCTACACGGATAGAGGGAGGGAAGCCTACATGTTGCAAGTGCGCTGGTGACCACCAAAGGTCCGAGTGCAACACAGAGCTGACGAATTGCATCTCATGCATCAAACATAACGACCGAGTTGCCCGTGGTGCGGTGAAGGGACGAGCAGTGGACTCCCGTCACAAGGCCTCAGACCCCAATTGCCCCTCAGCAAGAGTGCGACTGTCTCGCCTCCATCGGAGAACAGACTTTGGGGGAGCAACGGAAGAGCGGCAAGCTCACGGCGCTTCGCAATGATCTGTATCTACCAGTTGAACTGCGGCAAGAGAGCCTCCTCTATCTCTAGCATGGTCGGCATCCTTTCGAACCTCGCTACTCTACCTGCATGCTTAGCGCTACAGGAGTGTCCAACCGATCTGAGCGAGCTCGCTGGAAAATACTTGTGCTATAGAGCCGATCACGGCAATGCAGCTGTGCTTGTTCGTCAGGATATAAGCTCCATCTCTTTAGTTCGTGATAAATACTTAGTCGCCGTGTCCCTCGGAGAATGTGTCGTGATTTCTATGTACATGCACCCTACGAATGTGGTACAGAGAGCTCACGTTAAGGCGATTCTCGAGAACCTAACGTCTGACTGTCGTACCCCGTGCCTTTTGTGCGCGGATGTTAACGCGTGGAGCATGTTGTGGGGCTCTCGGATGAGCTCCACTAACTGTAAGAATCAGGCGTGGGTACGCGGCTCAGAAGTGAGCGGGACCCTGGAAAATATGTCGTTCCAAGTTATCAACGACCCGGAATCCCCTCCGACATTCAGGGGTGGCCGTGGCTGTTCTCGGATAGACTGTTGTAACCACTAAGGCTAACACTACCACTGTATATGTGGTGGGGAAAGAGTCATAGTATTCGTATATAGCTAATGCAAAGACGTACTGCGCGCGCCACAATAATCTATGCACCGCAATACACGACATATCATTGACTCTATAACATCCTCTCCCCTCCTGTTCGCTAATGACTGCGAACATCATGTGGAGGAAATAAGTCTGTCAGGCTCACGATGAGTTCTAGGGTGAGCAATGACACGGTCAGCAATAGTTTCCTCAGGCTCATGCTGGCTGAGGTCACTAGGATTCGACTGGTCAATAGGCGGCTCATTCGAATCGATGATAGACTCGCTCTCAGGGATATAGAGAGAACTCTGTGAGGAAGGAGGGGGTGATATGGTAGATCGACAATTGACTGGCGAGTGTTGTTTGCAGTGGACCAATCTGTCAGCTGTAGCAACTACTCGCCTGCCGATGGGTAAACCATTATCATCAATAGGGCGTACATGATAGGCGTATGGAGATGTTTCTTCAACGACATATTTCGAATCGAAGAATCTGGCTCCAGTGCGGCGTTGCTCCTTGGGCTTCGCTAACCATACTTGGTCGCCGACATCGAACGTAATGATATCCTCATTTAGAGTAGCAGGTGGGACCGGAACAGCTTGTTCAAATCCGCGACGAATCTCTCTGCCCGAGAGAACCTCAGCAGGTGACGCACCATGCAGAGCACTATGGGGAGCTAAGTTATAGGCTGAACAGGCTCTTGCTAACCGCATAGTTAATGACGACTCTTGTAGGACCGAGCATTTGGTTTTCAGAGTTGCATGGAAACGTTCGCAGATACCGTTACTCGTCGGCCGGTAAGTTACCGGCCGTGGGGTGGTTACCGGCGGTAACCACTTGTTAAGACCAATGTAGTACCCACAGCCTTGAGCTTCTCTCGCAGGGCACTCCACACCCCACGGTCAGCTCTTAGGAATACTGGGTATCCAATAATAGAGTTCTTACATAAGCGAACAAATGCCGCCCAGACGGATACTGCCTGCTCATTGGGTAAGAGAATTACTAAGGCATACCGGGAATACTCGCAGATCAAGGATAGCACAGGACGACCATCAATATGGGTTATGTCAGAAGCGCAGGTAACCCACGGACCCGTCGAGAGGCGACGGGGATCAGCTGTCACCAACGGCATCAGTTTCGCTTTGTTCTTCTCGCACTCCTCATTCGTACATTGATGGAGCTCTCGTTCAACGTCAGATCGAATAGCAGGCCAGGAGTAATACCGTCCTATTAGACCCACTACTGCCAGAGTACCACCATGAACAGTCTCTTCATGTGCCCCCAAAATGATTTGAGAACGTAGGTTCGGCGGCACATAGAGTCGATTTCGATGATAGTATAGCCCTGAATCTGAGTCACAGGTCAAAGCAGAGATGTCAGTTTCCGGGATGCCTTCTTCTATCGCAGCCTGTAGGTCTCGTAGAGAGGGACACCACGATGCTTCGGGTCCTGTGTACGAATCAGATGAGCAATTCCACATGCCAGCCAGTGCCAATTCACTGCCGGTGGAGTAATACCGCGGAAGGCCTTGGGGTAATCTGGTTAAGCTGTCTGCAAGATTTTCCTCAGATTTCACCCATTTTATAACCAGCTGTAGTCGAAACTCAGATATGAGTCTTCTTAGAAGTTCAAGCCGTCGCACTACCAATGGTTTGTGAATACCGTGAACCGATATCTTCTTGTGGGCTAACAACTTCGAAACCCATGCATACACAGATTTGGAATCAGTTATGAGCTCAACGTTGGCGTACTCATACTCAATGGCTACTTCTACCGCCTTCAGGAGAGCGTCAAGCTCACGAATATTAGCATGAGCAGATGGTCGACTGCCAGGATCAATCGAAGATTCTGGCGTCAGAGCACAATAGTCATAGAGGACCATATCATCAGTAGTCGTAAGAACTACTCCTATGGCTAAAGAACTGGCATCAAACCAGACTTTCACTGGAGCGATATCTTCCGGTTTAGCGGAGGCGTGAGGCAGTGGTAGTAACCAGAGACCACTTGCAGGATCACCACGCTGACGGAAGAGTTTACATAGAAGACGTCCGTAATGCCGTACACCGTTAGGGATATTTCGCAACCACGATGCCTTCGTGGAGTCACATTCACGACCTATAAGTCGTCGACCGATGGCTGAAGCTATTCTCAGCCAGCCACAGACCGGTACATGAGAGGAAAGAGTACCAATCCACGAAGAGAAGGCTTTGCAACTAACAACTTCACCGCTGTTCAGTTGCGTCTCGATATGTAATAATTCATCTAAGGATAAACGGCGCTTCCAGCAAAGACGCCTACTATCATCCCTAGACACTACTAGGCCAAGTAAACGACTACCTTCGATAGAGCATGGATCTTTGGTAGTTAAAGAATTAAGCAAAAGAGTATCCCGTACTCGTTTGACACCATCAGGTAGTGCCCCTCCCGTACGGGTATCATTTTGCTTAGGTATCAATATATCATCAAAGTATCGAAGGTTCCTGGTCGGCTCATCTTTCAAGCAGAAATCTAACACCGATTTCAACATTCGTGGAGCTGAGCTCGCTCCAAAGCCTAAACGGCACAAGCGAAAGTAAGGGCCGTCGCTACGATGGTCAAGCCGAATGACTTGATACCAAGATTGCTCCGGATCCATGAGCAAACTTGGATACGCACGAGAAATATCAAGAATATCGCCATCAGCAACACGCCTCCAACGACGAATTTCTCGCTGGCAGTTACCCGCATAGGGGTCACTGGCCGATACGCAGTAACGATTGACATAGGTAAAATCAATAGTAGGCCGTACGGCTGTAGACTTATGACTTTGGACTACTGGTACCAGGGGAAGGACACAATGAATTTTACACAATTCTTCATTCTTCACGGGAGTAAGCCACCCTCGCTCAATCCAGCTGTCGAGCTCCGCGTGAAGAGCTTGCTGTTGAGGGACTGAAAGATGGTTGATAGAGTACTGCTCAGGGCAGCAGATATAGTCAGGGGCTTTGTTGTTTAACCATTTCCAACTAACTTGCCACCCAGACGAACCATCGGGATAGGGGATTCTTTTGCAGACGCAGTCTGGGGCATCTAGCATCACTGAACCGTCGGAGTACTCAGCAACAGAACAGGATTCTAACTCGTAGTTATGGACTGGTGAAGAGTTCAATACTGCAGCTCCAGCTATGAGCTTGGTGTCAATGCGACCAGACGCTTTGTAATAGAAACTCAATGAGTGATTGGGGAAAGAGGACCAGAAATCAGCACCAACCAGTAAGGGTAGATTGCCTGGTAAATGCGGTACAACCAGGGCATTTACCGTATAGCTCTTGTCATCTATTGACAGAGTGATATCACCAGAGCCGATACTAGACAGAACTTGGTCACTGAGGGTAATGAGAGAAGACGAAATATCATTTTGTAATGGAAGTCCAAGGGAGTTGAAGGTAGGGGCAGATACCAGTGTGCGAGCACAGCACGGGTCACACAAAGCAGTCAGAGATTTATTCCCCTCATTCGCGGTGACCACTATGAAGTCTCGGTGTGGAAGAGCAGAGCAGTCAAGACTAGGATGAACAGAACCAGCTGTAGCAGCTAATCGATAAGGGGGACTCTTCACACTCCTTACACCGGGGTGTGACCCCCAGGGGGGTTTAACGACGACGCTGCGGTAGATGAGCGATTCAGTTGGGGGCACTGGGATTTGAAATGTCCCACTTCATGGCATTGCCAACATGCCCTAGTACTCGGAGACGTGCCAACTCCCTGACTTGCTCTCTCCTTTCCCTTGCCCTTACCACCACCACCACGACCTACTCCCTTGCGACCCTTGTTACCCTTACCAATGAACCAATGAGCACCAGCAGCACCGAGCACCTCAGGTGTAGTAGGATCTACTCGTGAGGCTCTCAAATGATCCTTCACCAACTTGAGGAGATCTATTAAAGTCACTTGTAGGTCTTCAGACTTGGCGATGGCTAAAGTACGAGCTGCCGTATTGCTCGGCAACCCTACAATGAACTGAGCCCTGAGGATGGTCTCTTTTGCTTGGGCTTGTAAGTTGGGCTGGCTGATATCCAGCCTGGATATCCAGCCTAGCCTAGGCTCCTGGATAATCCAGGAGAGTTCTCAGATCCGCCAAGAATGAATCTGGAACTTCCTCTGCCTTCATCTCACGTTTGCAGAATGCCCGCCACGCATTCAGCTTGCCCAGTCCAAATGCCGATCGCAACGCAGCAACAAGATCGTCGTAGTTATCTTGCCGGTCGTCAGATAATGAGTATACAAGTTGAGACGCGCGACCATCGAGGGCGATTTTAAGTATGCCAGCTGCTTTGGTATTATACTGCTGACGTTCCTCAAGGGGTGCATCGGCTGGGGGGCGACGAATACCTCTCACTTGCAGGTAGGTATTGAGCTTTTTCAGGAAGAGCTCGACACTCGAAGATGGCTCATCAGGAGTAATCTTTTCCCCAGAGAAACGGGGACACGCTGGTAGGGAGCCCTTATGGCTGTGATCACCATTCATTACAGTAGATATGGTCTTATATTAGACGTTCTCGGTTCCAGTATCAGGATGTTGTAACCACTAAGGCTAACACTACCACTGTATATGTGGTGGGGAAAGAGTCATAGTATTAGTATATAGCTAATGCAAAGACGTACTGCGCGCGCCACAATAATCTATGCACCGCAATACACGACATATCATTGACTCTATAACAAGACATCACAGCTGTCCGGAATTGGGACAGACCAGTCGATTGGGAGGTGAGCTCGGAGGAGTCTGGGAGTGATCACAGACTAGTGATCGCGAGGATGAGACTACAGATCACTACTGCACAGCGTCTAGCTCACAGGCTCACTGATATAGGCCAAGTCAGAAACTCCATGAGCTCGTTCACGGCTAGAAATCCAACGGCAACGGTAGTTGAGGTGGCAGCGGAGTTATCCAGGGCCGTTAGGGAGAGTACCCCGAAACTCCCATGTAGACTCAAGCCTGGATGGTGGTCATCGAAGCTTGAAGGAATGAAGCCGCAGTTGAAGCGATTGCAAAGGCGAGTTCACCGCTGCTTCCTACGCGGAGGGCTCCGAGAGGAGCTGGAGCAGGAGTTAAAAGTGCAACGCGCAGCTTATAGAACAGAGATCAGCAATGCGAAGAGTCGAGCTCGCCAGAGGTTTTTCGCCGGGCAAGCGGACTACTGCAAGTTAGTCCGTCCAGCGCGACTTTCCACCGTACCATCGCAATTAGAAGGCTGTCCTGCCGGCGATAATACAGCGGCTTTTATTCTCGAGAAGCTGTTCCCGAGATTTGAAGGTGGCCACCGATTGTTATCGCGTATTAAAAAAGTTGGTCCACTAAGAGATGTACCCCAAGTAACTACTGTTAGATCCTAATTGGGTAACACAAAAGCCCAACTGAGATCTTGAGCCAAACGGCTACGGTATATATACGGGACAAATCATGCAAATCATCGCAACACTTTGACTTCAGTATCATCAACTCGGATAGTTTCACAGCCAGCCGTTTCGGAGCCGTCCCATAAGATATCTAGGGCGCCAGACCTGCGCACGCCACAAACTCGGCCTGAGGACCAGTAACGACGGGGACGACGGAGGCCGGCAGATATACCAGTGGCAACAGAGATACGCATCCCGACACGAGAGGGAAGTGGTTCTTCTATGAGACAATCTTCGGTCTCATCACGCCCCCCTTGCGAGGACACGCGAGCATAATCATTGATATCGGCCTTGTTGTTTGTCTCTTCGTCTGAGAGCTGCCATCGACGAGTGCCAAGAGATATGAACTCCGGAGTATCACCGTTGTCAAATTGTATCCAGACCCGGTCGTCACCAACATCACAAGGATCGTAAGTGACGACACCAGACCGCCACTGATCAACCTTTTGGTCATCCTGCACTCGTAGGCGGAGTCCTTCACGTGACACCACAGGAATATTGGGGTCAAGCCTTGGGAAAGGACGTAAGATGACCAAGTTGAATGCGTTCTCGTAAGTCAGCAGGCCACCAGGAAATCGGACTTGAACACGCCTAGGGGAGAAGACACGGACTACATGGCCCATGCGGAATGCCATACCGCATTTACGACCAGTCATGTGGACAAGTACCGCATCACCAGGATAAAATAACTGAGGCTTCGAATGACCGCTCTTACACTTGGAGGACACATTGCTGAGAGACTGCTTCTTGAGCTCTGACCAGACCGAGCTGAGGAAGACGTTACGGAAGGTCTTCAGCCTATTCGGCATGAGGTGAGAGTGGTCAGTAGAAGTAGGCTTCGACCCGCTTAGAGAGCTACTGCCGTCCCTTGTTCGGCCAAAATAAAGGCTGTCGGGAGTGACAACCTCAGCAGTACCTTGACTGATCAAAAAGGTTCCCAGCGGGCGACAGTTGATGATCGACATCAAGCGCTCTAGCAGTAGGTCTTCATCGTCACGGTCTGAAGGCCACTTCCCAGAACTGTGTCGAAGCATACATCGGAGACGATCCACCACTATGGCATTGTGCGACTCTGAACAGATCTCCCAAGGGGATCTGCTGGAGGCTAAGCAGACACTCGCCTCGAGCTCAGACTCGACACGTCGTATGAATTGATCACTTGATCTAAAATAAGCAGCTCGGTCACAAGTCACAATGCGAATGGAGCCAGTCTTAGCCTTGAGGAGCTTCAACAATCGCAAAGCCTCCGAGCTCGTCTCCGTCTTAGCACGGAAGAGTGTGATATGACGGGTAAACATACACACCGCACTGAAAAGCTTGACATGGTCACCCACGGCCAGGAAGTCCACCGAAACATGCCAGTACGGAGGAAGATGAGCAAGAGCCGCAGCTTCACTGCGAACCGATGGATGGGAAGACCACGACCGTTGAGCTCGGAGGGTTTTACAAGTGATGCACTTACTCAGAAAATCACGACATTGTCGAGTGGCACCAGGAAGATGATAGTCGACCACCAGCGATAAAGTAGGCCTCACGGTCAGATGTTCCGAGCGAGAATGGGCGTCTTTCAGCACCTTTTCGCGAAGCCTAGGCACTGACTTGGGAAGAACATACTGGAAGACTTCCGTCCCAAAGGGGCTGCCAGACCGGAACAAGACCAAAGGGATATTGGAGTCACCGTCATCAGATATCACATACGGTCCACATGGTAGAGGGCCACGGGATCGAGTAGCAATACAGAACTCATCATGTCGCTGAGCAGCACAGACCAGGGCGCGCTTATCAGCGTCACAAGGCACCCCTGAGTACTCGACGACCGATAGAACCGCTCCTACCGCATTCGCACGGAGGAGGCGAAGTATAAAACGGAGGCAACGGACACGTGACAAAATAGTCGAGTAATCATAACATTGAGCAGCTAAACGCTCTATAAAGCACGGTAGAGCTTCAGCAGAAGAGCCAGCTACAAGTCCAATGAAATCAGTTCGCAGATCAAGCGAGACATCACCAGATTCCAGCTCACAATGACGGAAGAGAAGTAACCGATCACGGGTGTAAGGGTCACAACTAGTGAGCGGCTCATGTGACGAGTCAGCAGCAAGAAGACGGATGTCATCATCGGATTCCTCGGGCCACACAGGGACAGAGTCCGGAAGATCGTCACAGAGAACGTCACTCAAAGTAATCCCGGGAGCTATCACACTATCATATAAACGGGATAATCTATCGGCCAGGATGTTGTTGCGACCCTCGACATGTCTCACTTCAATATCTGCATAACGTTTAAGAGCCTTCAGCTCATCCATTGCCACAAGGACGAGGCGAGTAAGTGCTCTTTTTTCGAGTGCTTGACCACTGCTGAACAAGGCGGTAGCATCCTCACGGGACCAATGGATGACGGCCTTGTTGTCAGACAGAACAAACACCTTAGGACGTCGGCGAGGACCGCAAGCAGTCGAGTCCTTGGAGTTAGTGAAGTAATGGCTCACCAAGTCGGCACATGCACGGAGGCCTATAACCAATGACAACAGTTCTCGACGGTTGGAGTGATAGTTCCTTTGAGTTCTACTCCATCGAAAACCGTCACCGCAGAGCATCGGAAGGTCCGCGAGACCAGCCTCGCTACCGCCCTCCACTGATCCGCGAAGAACTAGGAACCCACCGCCAGAACGAGAGGCGTCAGTTACCAGAGTGAGGTCTGGTAGTTCATCATTCGATGGGCACGGAGAGACGTGCGAGCACTTGGCGGCCGACGGTGCAGAAAGCTCTCTCATCCAGTGGATGAAGTAGTCGTAGGCGGCAAGTTGGATAGGAGTCAGCTGGTATCGGAGATTGACCACTGTCTGCCATCCTTGCTTCGCCAAACAGCGACCTATCAGTGATCTGACGCCATCTGCGCAGCTGCGGCATTCTGGATGAACTCTACCCACATCATACGAGAGAGCACCAGCATAAGAGAACGCCGCGGACTTTGAAAGCTGATAGATAGTATCAGAACTGGCAAACTTGTACACACGATCGAGGCGCTCTTCACGACAGCAATGGAGTACAAGTGTACCGGTACGGTAGCAGAGAGAAGTTCGCAACAGCGAGAGAGACCCTGAAGGTACGATACCTAAGGGCTTGAGGGACTCATTCAGTTCTGCTGCGTGAGAGGACTCGCATATGCATGCAAACTTAGTTTGCTGCACCGCAAAGCCACAGAGGAGCATAGCATAGACCAGCACAGTGAGGTTGTGGATGAGGTGGCGGACAGACCCGGACAGTATACCATCATCGACGTAGAGGCTCCAAAAGCCACTGACGTAGAGGTAGGTCATGAGGAAGAAGAGGGCTCCCAACGAGGACTGTAAAGAAGACGGTCCTGGGGAGAGACCGAAACAAATACGACGACTGGTATAGTACCCAAGAGCACTCACCAAAAGTAATGTGAGACCACTCACTTGTACCCGGTAAAACGCCTGCTGAGCATCAATAGTCGCAATGGCGATTGGGGATGCCCAGCGGAGAGCATTGATGATCAAGAACCCACTGGGATTCTCACTGCTAGCTGACGGTAACCCCTCATTGATTGCTCTGCAATCCAGTACTAGTCTAGGCTTCCTCACAGTGACGGGCGTCTTGGACGATGTACCACCGATCATGAAGACAGGGATTGGTGGAGAGATGTCTACGATACGGTTTAGCTGAGACTTCTCGACTGGTGACCACCACTTTCGGTCCAAATAGTCCTTGATGAGCTTGGCATACGTCTCTCTATCCAAGGGGGATAGACGGTTATAGAGTCCTCGTGCATAACCTCGCTGTGGACCAACCTTAGACTTGTCGAAGGCTGAGAGGTCGACGGTGAAACAGAAGGCTTGGATGTCAGTGTCACGGGGTTCATCAGGACCCAGTCGACGAAGCTTGACACGGAGAGCTTCACTAGGACATCGTGCAAGAGGGCGCCAACCTTGATCAGAGAGCTGTCGTAGTAGCTGCTCGATACGATGAATAATGTCTCCGGATGGCAAAACATGGATGGAGCTAGGGTTTGACTCACAGCAAGGCTGTATCCCCACGCCGGTAGTTGATAATTCGGCGCCATCTGAATCATCACAGAGTGCCAGACAGGACGTATAGGCTTCGGAAGCACAGTTATCGGAAGGGCTTGCACGAAAAACACATACGCTACCTATCTTGGCGAATGCCGAGCCTTTAGTGATCAGATTCCAACGTGCCAGCAAACTGCGACCAGCAAGAGTACACCAAGATCCTGGACGGAGAAAAGGACAAGGTGATACAGTGAGCACGTTGAGAGACACTTGCTGTTGAGCGATGATGGACTCATGACCATACAAGCCGACTGGGTAGATACCGATAGTGACATCAACGGCCTTGCTGATGTTGCGACGGGATCCATCGGCCAGAGATACTGACCGGACTGAATCGGAGCTCCTTGACGGGGTGAATAAAGCTCCTGAACTATAGATGAGAGAGTCTACATCGGTATCACACACAAGCAAATAATTGCCACCGGCACCAGAATCTACGAGAACGGGCACGTCAACAGCGGAATCCCAAGTGTTGGACGACGTAGATCGAAGAGCACCACGGAGCAGGATCTCCGGCGGAATGGTAGCAGACGAAAGAGCAAGGATGCTATCCTCACTAACGGGGGTAGATACAGGTTGAGAAACTTGATTAAAAAGGCCGTCAGGATGCAGAGGTGTTTCACTGACCTCAACATCAGGCCTACTTAGTTTTTTGACTGTGACGGCTTAGATGTCTGTCGTCTGGTTCGAAACTCGAACTTCCTGGTCTCGAACTGGTCACTGGATAGGTCGCCGATCACCTTCGAACCATTCTCTTCGTCCTTGTAGGCCAAGAACCAAAGGACACCTTTACCGTCTTTCCGGGGGTAGTGCCGAGCATCGTCGTATTGGACGTGATTCTCGGGAGAGCCTGCAACTCCAGGACCCGTAACGACAAACACAGCCGGGAAGCGACCCGCCCACTTGGAGAGAGATTCTCCACGACCACTTTTCCCATCAGACACTTGTGCTACACGGTCGATAGAGTGTTGGCTGTCTTTAACGTGGTTATGGTTGTGGTTGCGGTTGTTGTTGAGACCATGATGACCATCGAGAGAGACACCAGCGTCTCGGAAGGTGCGGCAGTTAGTTCTTATGACAGAGATCACAGACGGCCGCCCAGCAGTATCGTCGAATGGCAATGCAAGTTCCCAGTCGCCGTTGCCAACCTTTTGGCTCTGTAGACTCTGAACTACGCATATCCGAAGCTTCTCTGGTAGTTTCATCACCACAGTTCTGGTCATCGTCCGCAATTCTGCTCGATCAGTCCCGTAGACATTACGGTACATGCGAAAGGCTGCCAGTGCCTTCCGTAAAAATATTTCAACAGTACCCAGACCACCAAAGGCGAGAGACCGCATGACGGAGTTGTATTCAGCTTTGAGCAAGTCTCTACGAGCGAACTCTTGCTGTAGCTCGGACTTGATAGCAGACCATTTGTACTCGCAGTTCTGGGCGACGTCGTGAATGACGGTTGAAACCACTTCGCAGGACTTGACACTCTTGAGAAGTTTATTGTACACACTTATGCGCAGATGTGTATGTGGCACAAATACACCGTTAGGGTTGATGGTACCAGCACCGGCTTCTTGGAATAGCTGCTCTAGCAAGGATAGATGCGCCCCAATACATGACGGAGTTTTCAGTAACGGTACCGAGAGGGATCCAAAGTCAGCAGCAGACAGTTGTTCAGTAGATGTAGTCGAGAGGATCTTCGAAGGGGTCTCCTGGTTATTGTCGATGTCATCATCGCGCTTGCTATCTTGCCCATGCTCGCCCGTGGACATGAAAAATGAGAGAGCATGTTCGTTCTGCTTCTCGGCTGTTGGGGATGTTGGAAGCGCAACCCTTGACCGACCTTCTTGTCGAGCACTCTGTGAACGCTCGTTGTCGATAGATAGCTCGAGCTCGGCGATACGGGATTCGAGCTCTTCAATGCGCTTAGAGTACTTGATCTCTTGGTCTTCAAGCAGTCTGATGACCTCGTTAGTATCCTCGGTGTCATCATCAATGACGTCCTTCAACTTCTCACGAGTGTCTCGTAGTGCACGCTTGGATTGACGGAGTTGGCTTCTTGCCGTACGGAGTTCGTCGAAAGGTGTCGCCATGTTAGATCCTAATTGGGTAACACAAAAGCCCAACTGAGATCTTGAGCCAAACGGCTACGTATATATACGGGACAAATCATGCAAATCATCGCAACACTTTGACTTCAGTATCATCAACTCGGATAGTTTCACAGCCAGCCGTTTCGGAGCCGTCCCATAAGATATCTAGGCGCCAGACCTGCGCACGCCACAAACTCGGCCTGAG